CTGTGAGTTCTGGTCCTGCCTTAGCATGAAGCCAGCCGGGTGACTTTGGGCCAGTCCCTCTTTCTCAGCCCTGGGAAGGAGGCAATGGCAAACAGCTTCTGAAACCTTGCCAAGAAAACTGCTGGGACTTGTCCAGGCAGTCGCCAGGAGTCCATGCTGACTTGAAGGCGTGCATACACACACACACACACACACACACACACATCACAAGCATAAAATTAGTAGACTTTTTCATACAAGTTTGAATATAATAAAAAGCAAAAGCTACTACAGATTACATCAAAGTCATTGTTGTACATTTCAGTCTTGAGCTTACTTAGTATTAGAGTCTCCATTATATAATTGCTTAATGTATGTACATACTTCAGAATTTCTAGGAGCACATATAAGACATTTCTTTTCAAACTGTTAAAGCAGCTGTGACCTTTCCCAGCCTTGTGTGGCTGCTTTGTCTCCATATGTACACATATACACGGGCACTTTACTTTGCTGAGAAAAATGCTTGCATCAGGAAAGGCAAATATTACCTATTCAGTCAAATATTCTCACAAAACTCGCAGGTGATCACATAAAAACCATCTTGATACAAGAACTTTCTATCCAACAGTGTGATCAAGGTGGCCAAGAGGACAATAATTCAAACTCTGCCATAATTACAAACTAAAACCAAGGTGGTGGTGATGGTTCTTTTTAATCTTGTGTACTTCAAACTTTGATTCCGGATAGCCCTTTCTTTCATTTGTCTAACTCTGCCTCACTAGAAATGAGCGTCAGTCAGAATGAAATGTCCATTCTGCACGAGCACAGGCTCCACTTAAGCAGCAACAAGGAATACCGTTTGAATTTTTTAAAGTTTGTTTTATTCTCCTTCATACTGAGGGATTGTGCTTAAACCATAGTGATAAAGTAGCAAGGCAGACTTCAGTTATTTTTATGGGAGATTAACTTTGCTACCATCTTCCTGCCACACAGTGTTGCATATTTAGAATAATATGTGTTAAATGT